GAGAGAGAAACATCATCGATCGGCTGCCTCCTGCACACCCCCTACTGGGGATCGAGCCTGCAACCCAGGCCTGCAACCCGGGCCTGTGCCCTGACCGGGAATCGAACCCTGACCTCTTGGTTCCTGGGTTGATTAATGATCGTGCAGGAGGCAGCCGATCCATGATTCTCTCATCATTGATGTTTCTGTCCCTCCCTCCCCTTCTGTATGAAAGCAATAAAAATATATTTAGAAGAAGAAAAAAAAAGGCCAGCAGGCTGAGGTGGCCAGTGGCTGCCAGGCAGAGGGTTGCGAGCGGCGTGCGGTGAGCGGCTTGCACAGCTGCTGACGTGCCTGTGTCCCCACCTGGTCCAGGGGAGCCCGAGTTCCACTACATGGCGGGCGCCCACGGCAACGAGGTGCTGGGCCGCGAGCTGCTGCTGCTGCTGGTGCAGTTCCTGTGCCAGGAGTACCTGGCGGGCAACGCGCGCATCGTCCGCCTGGTGGAGGAGACCCGCATCCACATCGTGCCCTCCCTCAACCCTGCCGGCCTAAGAGCCAGGAGGTCAGGGTTTGATTCCCGGTCAGGGCACAGGCCCGGGTTGCTGGCTCCGACCCCAGTGGGGGGCATGCAGGAGGCAGCCGATCCCTCTCATCATTCATATTTCTCTCTCTCCCTCTCCCTTCCTCTCTCGACGGCTACGAGAAGGCCTCCGAGGGGGTAAGGACCGCGCCCCTCCCTGCTTGCCCGACCGCTGGCCCTGGCTGCACAGCCCACTTGGCCCCGAGTTCAAGTCCACCCATGGGCCCCAGCCGGGCAGCCCAGTCATCCGGACTTGCCAAGGCCACAGACCCCGTCCCCGGTCAGGGCGCACACAAGAATCAAGCGATGAGCGCATACATGAGTGGAACAGCAAATCGCTGCTTCTCTCTCTCTCTCCCCCTCCCTCCCTCCCTCCCGCCTCCCTCTCCCTTCCTCCCTCTTTAAGAAAAACCCCAACAGAATCAACAAATAGAAACCACCACCAGTAGCTTCCTTGTTGAGCCTCTGCTGAGGCGGGGACACCACAAGGTCATGAAAGACTGGAACAGAGAATTTCGGGGACCCCGAGCGGGGCCCGTGCCAGCAGACAGGAGAAAGCGGCCCTGCATATAGACACAGTGATGACAGAGCAGCGGCTGGCGCCTCACACAAGCCCTAGCCCAGGCCCGGCCGGAGCATGACTCGCGATCCTCTCATCTTTCCTCGAGGAGAGTCGTTTATGATCCTGAGAGATCGGCTGTGTGTCAGGTGCTACGTGTGATGTAGAGCGTGCACAGGGCACGGTTAGGTGTAGAGTACGCGTGTGCATTGGATTATGCAGAGAATAGAGTTGGTGTTTCCTGGGAATAAAGTGGAAACTATTCCTGAAACCATGGGACCTGCCAAATGCAGCGTCACCACGTGGAGGTTCGTTGTATTTATCGACACAGACAGGGATTTGCTGCGACAGTCGTTGGGGATTTGTGGGCCGGACAGCGAGGCTGTTGAGTTTGCAATGACGGACTTCTATTTTCATTCATTCATTCATTCAATTTTACGTTTTTAAATTTTAGAGAGAGAGAGAGAGAGAGAGAGAGAGAGAGAGAGAGGAGAGAGAAACATTGATGTGAGAGAGAAATACCAATTGGTTGCCTCCCATACGCCCCAACCAGAGATCAAATTCACAGCCCAGGCGTGCGCCCTGACTAGGAATCGAACCCACAACCGTTTGGTGTGCGGGACAATGAGTGCTCCAAGCAGCTGAGCCCCCGGCCGGGGCAGGACAGGCTTTTGGGTTCATTAGCGCTCAGTCTCCTCCGCCCAGCGCAGCAGCCCTCAGAGAGGCACGAGGGGAGAAGGGCCGGACTGTGCAGGAGTCCCCCCGTGGCGTGGCTGTGCACCCACAGATACCAGCAGGGGTTCTGACTGTGGCCTGTGGGTGTGGTCTTAGGTGAGACGTGTGGAGAGGCTCAGAGACACCTGGGTGGGGGAGCCGTCCCGCGTCCGCGCCGCCCACAGTCTTCGGGCCCCTCTCCTTCTGAATTGCCTCCCAGGGCTCGGAGCTGGGGGGCTGGTCCCTGGGGCGCTGGACCCACGACGGGATTGACATCAACAACAACTTCCCCGACTTAAACTCGCCGCTCTGGGAGGCCGAGGCCCGGCAGAGCAGCCCGAGGCCCGTGCCCAACCACCACATCCCCGTCCCCGAGTGGTTCCTGTCGGAGAACGCCACGGTGAGCAGAACGCCGGGTCTGC